CAGTAATTATCTAAGACTCTATGAAATTGGGATCGTGAATTGGGTTGCTTATGATTACAGGATAGTTTCTTTGCTAGCTTTGCACTCGGTTGGCTAATCACGAATGGTGCTGGTCTTGCCTCATACCCAATTGATACCGTTCGTAGAAGAATGATGATGACATCAGGTGAAGCCGTGAAGTACAAGAGCTCGATGGATGCATTTACTCAAATACTCAAAAACGAGGGCGCCAAATCTCTATTCAAGGGTGCCGGTGCGAATATCCTTCGTGCCATTGCTGGCGCTGGTGTGCTTGCAGGTTATGACAAGCTTCAGATGATCGTTTTCGGGAAGAAATATGGCTCTGGTGGTGCCTAAATTTCACCAGTTTTCTTGAGCAATAGAGATGGTGATGATATCTTTTTATGTTTAGTTTGAGAGTTCATCCAACGCAAACTTTTAGTGATCTAGTTAAATAAATCTAGCCCAGAGTTTGAATTCTAATTTTATTTTATTTTATTTTTATTTATTTATTTTTTTTTTTACCATTTTTGGGGTATTATATTTCTACTATTTTATCAGTGTCGAAGTTGCATTTTTCCTGAGAGGTTTTTTATTTCAATTTTACGCACTATGGATTAATTATATTTTGAATTTATGTATTTTAATGATTTAATAAGCTAATGGAATACTGATTAACAGTCGATTTATATAAATTATGTTTTATGTACAGCATAACTAAATTTACAGTTTATCATTTGAATTTATTTAGGGAAAATTGCAGATGGGTCCCTAATCTTTGAAAAAGAGCAAATGGGTTCTGATTCTTTTATTTTAGGCCCTAACCTTTGGAGAATTAAGCAGGCCAGGATCTTTGGATGGAAATCGTCCAAAAACTCACAAACTGGGTGCGTCAAAAAGTACATGTTCTACTTTCTTAATTTCTAATGGTGATTGATGACAATATTGATGATGTTTCCGCTTGGTGATTGTTTAAAGTATGTTTAGGAAGTGTTTATAAACGAGTTAAATTATAAATAGATAAGAATAAGAGATGAATAAATGAGTAATATTTGTGGATCTTTTGAAATATATGGATAAAAAGTGACTTATAAATTTGTAAACTGTTTATAAATATAAACCAAACATAGGCTAAAAAAGATGGGTTAGTAATCAACAACAAATATTAATTGACCATTGCTCTATTCTAATTTTTTGTCATTATTCTTGAAAATGACCATCGAGTAATTTTGCCTAAAAACTCTCGAAGTGTTTGTGTAGCCTTGAGGAATAAAAAGTAGGAAAAAGCCATGAGTACAAGGATTTTCTTACAGAATTTCTACCTATGTTCACATGGTCACATATGATTAAATGTTTTCTTTATTTTCTTTCCATCTTTCAATCAATTCTTGCAATGTGCCGTTTGACAAAATTTTCTTTCAACTTTTCTGTACTTGTAGCATGATTCTAAAAAGTAAAGGAAGATAAGTCCGATTAGATCCTTTAATAGAGCCCTTGCAGTTCTTATAATTCGTTATTTACTGTCTATTTAATATAATTATTATATTCTCACATGTTAACATGTTTGTGTGAGCTTAAAAAAATAAATGTTTTTCATAGCTATTAAGTAAATATTTGTTGTCAAAAAATGAAAATTTTGTACTAAAGATCAAAATAAGTAACTCTTTAAGATTGAAAATATGGTTGAAAAAAATTTGTTTAAAAGTAATTGTTAAGTCTTGCCAAACATGTATATTTGTTTCGATAGGCTTAAATTCACGTAAATTCGAGCCAAACATGCTTGAATATTTTATTTTTCCACTAATAATTAAAAAATAATTAGAAGAAGGTTACTCAAACATTGCTTAATATAAGAGGTTATTTTGTTAGCATATTTGGCTAAATTTAAAGGTAGGTTAACAATAATTATAACTAAAATAATTTATATTTTCAAACGTGTATGAACATGTTATATTTTCTACTCGTTACATAAAATATGGACAAGATAGAACGATATAGCAAAAAATACAATCTAATCGCACATTTCATGATATTCATAATTATTTATTCCATCAATAAATCTAATAAATTATAATTTTTAACAAAAAGAAATCGGAGCTTATTTACTTTTAAGTATCCTTTTTTAGGCTTGAGCCAAACAAACAAGTGGTCGAAACTTTAACGCCTCATAATTGGAGCCGAATGACACAATTTCTTCTCCCTCTCGCCCACTATTGTAATGCTTGCTCTCTTCTTCCTCAAATCACGACAACCTTGTACCCTTAAACCCTTCTCAAAACGCCCATATTTTTCTCCAGTTTCACTCCACACTCGCCCTCTCTTGCCCCGCAGAAACAAACCGAAGAATAATGAGAATTCCACCACCAAGTGGAACACAACACACACTTTTGTTCTCTCGAACCCCACACTTTCTCTTCTTGAAACGAAATGCAAGTCCATGATCCAGCTCCTGCAAATACAGTCCCAAATGATCATTACTGGTCTTTCTTTAGATGGGTTGGCTTATAGTCGTTTAATAGCCTTTTGTGCTCTCTCGCCATTTGGTGATCTTAATTATTCCAAAAGATTATTGTCCCACATGCATTACCCAAATGCGTTTTCTTGGAATATAGTAATTAGAGCGTTTACTGATAGCCCAATTCCGTTACAAGCTTTTGTTTTATACAAAAAAATGTTAATTGTTAATAGGAATAGTAGCATTAGCTTAAGGCCGGATAATTATACTTTTCCATTGTTGTTCAAGTCTTGTGCTAGATTGTTATTGTTTTATATGGGCCATGAGATTATAGGGCATGTTCTGCAAATGGGTTATGATAGTGATCTATTCGTGCACAATGCTTTGATACATTACTTGGTGTCATGTGGAGAGTTGGAGGCTGCAGATAAAGTGTTTGGCGAAAATTCTGTGAGGGACTTGGTTTCATGGAATTCATTGATCAATGGGTATGTTAGGAGTGGGAAAGCGAAGGATGCATTGAGGTTATATAGGGAAATGGAGATGGAGAGGGATGGGAATCCTGATGAGGTTACTATGATTGGGGTGATTTCAGCGTGTTCTCAGTTGGAGAATTTGAGGCTTGGGAAAGAATTTCATCAATATATTCGAGAGAAAGGGTTGAATATGAGCATCCCACTTGCTAATGCTCTTATTGATATGTATGTGAAATGTGGGGATCTTGCGGAAGCAAAGATGTTGTTTGATGGAATGGATGA